GGGGGGGGTGGGAATTGTATAACAATGAAAGAATTTTTTTTTCTTTTCAGAGAAAAGTTAACTGGGTGGGCAGGGAGAAAATGTGCAATAATGAATGAATGGAAATCCAAAGTCTGTATAAAATTTCATTGAAATCTCAGTTTTAAAAAGCCTGATGCCTTTGCATTGTGGCGTTGGCAGAGAGTATTGAACATTCCCTGAACTGACAAAAGAATAAGCAAATCTGTCATAGAGGAAGTGCAACCAGAGCGCTGCTTAGAGGCAACAGTGGTGAAACTTCACCTCACATATTCTGGAGTAGTCCTTGGAAAAAGACATCCTGCTGGGAAAGGGGGAGGGTCAGAGAAAAAGAGGCAAGACCCTCCACAAGGTAGACACGGTGACTACAGCAGTGGGCTGAGCGTGACAGAGGTCCCGGGCATGGCCCAGGAGAGGTGCTGAGCTGTGTTTATCGAGGTGGTTTTTTGTTTGATTTTTTTTAAGTTTTTATTATTATTTTCAATGAACATCTACAGAGATTTTGGAATTCCATTCATTCATTGTTTCACTTTTCTCCCCACCCACCGCACCCCAATCCCCAGTTCGCTCCTCTCCTTGAAAAGCAAAAGACAAACTCCTTCATCGACTTTTTGTGAGTCCTAATCCACTAGGTGGCACCTGACACCAGTTGTGCTTCTAGTGGGGCTTTGAAATGAAATGAAGAAAGAATGATTAGAGAGTGGAGGGAGAGTGATGCTTTTGTATGCAGTGACAGAGAACTTGTCTGCATTACATTCAAATGGATGGTGGAAGGTTGAAACTTGTAAGTGATAAATTTGGATATCTGACTGAATGGATATCTAAGCAAGATGTTAAATTAAATGGGCTAGTTTATCCTTTGCATCTAATAGAAGGGATAATAGGTACCAAGTAAGCCCCAAACAAACAGATTTCATTAGCTCTCAAGACTCTGCTCTCTGAGATCATGTAGGCAGTGGACTCCCCTCCAAACTCTGTGAGTGTGTTTGATGGAGGCTCCCAGGCCCTGTGCTTCAGCTCCATCTTCCAGGCCCACTGGTTCACCAACTCTGCACCCCTGTCTTTGGGCAGCCCCATCTCAGTTCAGCTGAGTGGAGACCACACCACGTTGGACAAATTATCCTTAAAAGATAAGGGCCTTTCTCCAGAGAGCCTCTCCTAGAACAGGCACCCTGAATTCAGACTTCTAGGCTCCTGATCTGGGAGGAAATACCTTGGTGAAAGTGACACGCTTGTGGCATTTCATTCTAGCAGCCCTGGTTCACAAGGACAGTAGATATCTGTGGAGCCTGCAGCTCTGAGTGGCCCTACTTCTGTGATACTCTTGAGGTCAAGGAAGGAGACCCTTTTCCTCCTCAGGCTTAATGCGGGCCTTTTAATACCACATTCTAAGAAAACTCTGTGACTTACCCAAATAACTCTGCTAGAGTTTTGGGAAAATTTTCTTTTTAGTCTAGACATTTTCAAACTTAACACAAATGAAAACTATAATGTGCCTTCTATTTAATTAATTTCACTTCCTGTTTTTATTACATTTTTATTGGTTTTCATACAATAGTTCATTTATATTTTGTTTCATCTATATACTTTGTGTTCCATGCAGTCTCTCATTTACATTGTTTCATACTTTCATTGGTATACACTATATCCCATCTTATTAATTAATACCACCTTTTCAAGTCCCCATTGAATCTGTTCCAGTCCCCCTGGCCCCTCACAATCCACCCACCAAATTCTGTTATACTGGTGATTTCCACATTTTGTCTTTGCCTCTTCCCCTTTTGGACCTTTATACACATCTTATTAGCTTTCCTTCTATTTGTACAGTGGTCTTATGCAGTATTTGTCCTTAGGAGATTTGAGTTAGTTCACTCAGCCTAATGCTTCTCTAGACTCTCCCATGTTACATAGTATTTTTCAAAATCATTGTTCCTTAGTGCTGCATAGTATTCCATTGTGTTAATGTCCCACATTTTTTTAATCCATTCATTTCTTGTTGGACATTTGGACTGGCTCCATATTCTCGCTATTGTAAATATCACAGCTCTGAACATAGAATAGACATATTAACATCCATTTATGCCTCAGTTCTGATTTCTTTGGGGTATATATTCCTAGCAGAGAAATACCTCTGTCATATGGGATTTCTATGTTTAGCTTTTTGAGGAAACACCAGACTGCCTTCCAAAGTGGTGGTACAAGTATACAGTCATACCAGTAGTGCTTGAGAATTCCAATCTCCACAGATCCTCTCCAACATGTATTACTTGTTAAACTTTGCTACAGCTACTGGGATGAAATGCATATCTCATTGTTGTTTTGATTTGCATCTCTCTGATTACCAGTGATTTTGAGCATTTATTAATGTGTCTGTTGGCCAATCCAAATATCTTCCTTTGTGAAAAGTCTATTTGGGGGACCCATTTTTGTTACTCAGTTATCAGCCTTTTCTTTGGAGGCACTGTGGGATTTTGTAAACTTTGATTATGAGACCATTGTATGAAATGTCATTGCCAAATATTTTTTCCCCCCAACCTGCTGGCAAAAGGTTTTGATGTGCACAGGGACTTACTTTTTAGAAGGTCCCATTTTGTCTCCTCATGGTTGTGGATCAGTTCTTATTCAGTTCGTATTCTTAATGATCAGTCTTTTCCTGCTCCACTTGATTAGTGAAACAAATCTAGACTTTGGATACTTTATATAATTTGAAAATACTTCATAATATTTTTTCCTGAAGGAGAGAGTTCCTTTCTCTTTCTCTTCTGAGAACAGTGACATTTTCTCATATAAAACAAACAATAATTCCCTAAAATGTAAAAAACCAATTAGTATTTAATTTCTGATTGTCTCCTAATTGTTTAGCATTTAAGTCAAGATTAAAATAAACAGTATCTAGTTGCCTCTGTAGCATAGTTAGTAGCATGTCAGTCTCATCAAATAAACAATATCTATTGCACTTGGTTGATAGGTGTTACTATTTTGACTTATTTTAAACTTAGACTGATATGTGAGAGAATTGACCAGCAGTGAGTGCCCTTTTCCATCATGTTCTAAGTAATCAAGCCCTCGGAGTATCCTGACCTTCAAAGGAGTCTCACATGCTTCTATTGTGGACAAGCTGCCGCCTCTCATTTCTCACCCACCTCCCCCCACAGCAAGTGTTTCTCTGAGGCTTTACACATTTGGGAGTATTTTGACCTGCAGAAGAATTATGAATTTTTCTCACATGGAAAAGCTGCTGCCCTCATTTCTAACCCTCCCTCCCCATAACAAATGAAAGTTTGTAGAAACTAAGAGAAAGGTTTTTTTGAAGACAAGAAATAAACAGATGTTGATTTTTTTTTAATGAAAATACAATCACTTTATCCCATTTCTAATATGCAAATGGGTTATGTTTTATATTGTTTACTTAATGTGCTAATAATTAGTTTATTGAGCTTAAAATAAGCTTGTTTTGCCTCATGTAGAAATGGTTTTCATGGTACTGCTTTCTGAGTCCAATACTTTAATAAAAATTTTAGAATACAAATATTTCTTTTTTTTATTTTAATAAAAGTTAACAGAAATTTTGGATTTCCATTCATTGATTGTTGTACACTTCCTCCCTGCCCACTCCTTCCCCCCACCCCAGTTCACTTTTCTCTTTGAAAAGAGAAAAACAAAATTCTTTCATTGTTATACAGTCTCCCCTCCCACCCCTAGTCCACTCCACTATGTAGCTTTCATTCTGGACTCTCATCATGACAATATTACCTAATCTTACATTCCTCCTAAACAGTTCTTACCCTCATCTATTTCAATGCAGTATACATTATTTATCGCCCCATTATTTCCTCCCAACTCTGAAATCAGACACGCTTTACAACAGTTGGCATTATGCAGTATGTGTCCTTTTGTGATATTTCACCCAGCATAATGTCCTCCAGGGTCACCCATTTTGTATATTATTTCACGAGTTCCTTGTTTTTCAGTGCAGCATAGTATTCCATTGTGTGACTAAACCAGAGCTTCTTTGCTATTGCAAACAAAGCCACGATAAATAAACATGGGTGTACATTGGATATGACTATTTTTTAATCATCTTTCAACAGATTATGCTTGGTTTAACAAGTCACGAGGCTCATTTCTCTCTCCTAAGAGAAGAAGTTCGTTTTGGTGGCAAAAAAACGCAAAGGTAAGTTATACTTTGTTATCTATGTTAGAAGAAAAGACAGAACGTAAGCTCTGATAATGAAAGGGATTGATCTATTACTTGAGCTCGTTAGGTTTGCCCTTCTCCACAAAAAAGCATATCTTTAACTTGTAGTCTGGATGTTATATGATTTAACTTATTTTTAATTTTATCTGAATAAATGAAAATTAGAACTTGGCAAACTTTAGCTTTCAGAAAGCTACTTTACAAAAAAACTCCCATCAGAACTTGATTTATATTTCTGACTTCCATTCTGATGTAGACATTCACACAACTCATATTATTTCCGGTTTAATCTGGAGTTTAGGCTAATAACCAGAAATATATAACCCTGCTCTAATCCAGAGAAACCTCTGTGGAAGAAGTGATAACAGCTTACATTTGTAGCCTTTGCTGTCTCCATATATACTCCAGGATGTGCTGTAGTATAGACCCCTACCTGCTTTCTACTGACTAACGGCCTTGAGTGGGCTAGATCTCACACATCTCATCCATGGTATTTAAGCTCTCTTATTTGTAAGAGTCCATTTCCACAGAAGGCAGAGGGGAAACCAATTGTTGTTGTCAGGTGCCATCAATCAACTACAACTCGTAGTTGGCAGAGGAACAACAGATCAGAGCCTTGCCCTCTCCTGCCCATCCTCGTCAGCTCTGAGATTCTTGAGCCCATTGTTACAGTCGCTGTGTCAATCCAGACCGTCTGGTCTGATCTCTTCCTCTCTCTCTAACTAACCCTCTACCTTTCCAAACATGCTGTCGTCTTTTATACTGTTTTTATCTATTCTAATAATAGTTATGTTTTCATCATTACATTACCAATGCAGCTAATTCTGTCTTTAAGATTTAATACATTTTTGAAACCTGGGCCTTAAAAATCTAATAACTCAATCATCTCACTAATTTACAGGGTATGTGCACCAGAAGAAACCACATTTCACCTCCTCCACTTGTCTTTAATGAGAGAATATATTGATTATGAATTTTCAGTATTAAAAGTGAGTATTGCCTTCACCGTGGACAAAGATCTGTATGCAGAAATTGCTGAAGGATGTAACTCTTTCTCTGTTTTGCTGTAGGACAAAATCTCATTTACATATGATATTGAAAGGATCATAGACGATTGGATTTTGATGGGATTTCTTGTTGGCAATGATTTCATTCCTCATCTACCTCATCTACATATTAATCATGATGCACTGCCTCTTCTTTATGGAACTTATATTACCATTCTGCCAGAACTTGGAGGTACAACAGTTTTAATAATATTAATTTGAGACTGCTTTAACTTAGGACTTGCCTAGTTTTGAACATGTTACCAAGTTGATGTGATTATCGCATGCACAGCCAAAAGAAGAGACAGCTTACAGTTTCTGTTACTCTAAGTGCAAAGTTTTAAGGTTGAGATTTTCAGTGACTAATCAACAATAAAGTGACTAGACGTCTTTGCCTTTAATTCCTCCCCAAAAGGAGCAGATGTTATTATTTGGTTCCTTTTAGTTCTTTCATAGTAAAAGGAAAACTTTTTTTTTTTTAAGTAGAGAAACATCAAAGTTCTTAGTATGAAAGAAAAATTTTTCAATTTAAGTAAATTTGATAAAGAGAGAGAACAGTTTATCCAGAAATGTGTAACTTATGATTCAGGATAAGACTGACAGCAGTAGTCGTGTCTGGGTCCTTTTCTTCTCATGTTAAAACGAAGTTAAATGATGTAGATATGTTCTGTTGTGGTTGAGTTCTGTAGCATCGGAAGCAACCCATAACTGACCCTGCAGCAGTATTTCAGCGGCAGTCAGTCACGTGGGAGAAGATTGCCCATCCTTCTCCTGAGGAGCAGCTGATGGATTCGAACTGTTTGCCTTTGGAAATACAGCACAGCTTTTTACCACTAGCTACCTTATATGTACTACAACATAGTTAACTTAGTTGCCAAGTGTTTTTGCATGTGTGAGAGGATTATTATCTGAATACAGAATTTGTTTTAATTTTGCTTCAGTATTTACATATTCTTCAGCTTTGGCAATATAGCATTCATTGAAACTAGGGTCAGTCACATAGCCCACCCCTGAGTGTATTTTCTTAATTAGTAAGATGTCAATATCCTATGTTTTGTGAGAAGAATTTGTAGAATTGTTTAGAAAATAGACTGTCAAGTTTTGATATGAATCTAGATTTTATTCCTTTTAGGTTATATCAATGAAAGTGGGCATCTCAACTTACCTCGATTTGAGAAATATCTTGTAAAATTATCAGATGTAAGTAAGTGGAGACATGGGTTTACCTCGTCCAGGGAAGCAGTAGATGGCCAATAACCATTTATATAACAATAGAAGAAAAGGGTTTATAATTCTGTTTCACTTTCTTGTTCATGCTGTATAATTAATTTCACCTAATTTTTTAAATATATGTTCCACTCCTCCAAAAAATTCTCCAAGTAATAGATCAGGTCTCTGTGTATATGGGCGTGGGGGGTGGGTGGGAAGTCCCTGAGTAGTACACGTGGGCTTTGCTTGTGTACCACCATAAAGGATGGCAGATCAGGCCTTCCAGCAGTGCTGCAGAAGCAAGGCCTGGTGATCTCCTTTAAGACTACAGACAAGCAAACCCAGTGCAGCACCTTAAAGTGTGGAACATGCAGGTGCCCTAAAGTAGACACCAACTCATTGACAGTAGACTTGGGTTTTACTTTTGATTTCCCGCGTATATAAAAATATATCCCTGTGTTCTGCGCTCCAGTATGTTAATTTCTGTTCTTTTTGCATATAAATGATTTTATAATGAATTTTGACCATTTCGTTCCAGTTTGATCGTGAACACTTCAGTGAAGTCTTTGTGGACCTTAAGTGGTTTGAAAGCAAAGTTGGTAACAAGTACCTCAATGAAGCAGCAGGCCTTGCAGCTGAAGAGGCCAAGAGCCACAAAGAAAAGAAAAAACCAAAGGTGTTCACCTTTTCAGACATGCTTTCGTAATTATAGTTGTAAAGAAAACTGTTCTTATTTCTCGTTTTCCTTCTCGGGCTTGTGAGCTGCCTCATTTCACTTTATCTTCTCTGTGGACACTTAGAAAGCTTTGATTTCCTTTCTGTTAGTTCCAGTCATTTCTAACTGATCTTTAGCCATCAGTTTCTTATCTTTCCCTTGAAGAAAAACATTACGTTTTCTTTGCCTTCTGATTCTGTTAGTAAATGTTGAAAACATTTCTAAATATAAACTGTTATTAACGTAGTTCTCTTTTGAAAACAATTGTTTAAATGCACACTAAGTAAAAATAGTGACTGAGTTCCTTAATGGAAATAGTTACAGCATTTAATGTCATGTGAAACATCAACTAGATCAGGGGTTTTTTTCTCTAAAAATTATAAAATTATACATAAGATTTATAGACACGGTGGGGTAAGCATAATTAGTAGCACTCTGGTGAATATTAAATGCTTAATAAAGGAGTTCTAGAGTACTCAGTCATTGCTACGCAGGAGGAATCAGCTCATACTTGACCTTCCACTGCCGCTTTTGGAGGGTATGATGTGGGAGGAGATTGTCCCATCTTCTCCTGTACAGCTTGTCGGGTGGATGTGAAATGCCAGACAGGCACCACCTTTCAGCTAGCTGCGCAGCTGTTGAGCTCCACCAGAACTTCCTAGAACATTTGTAATCAGAATATACTAATGTCCTACAAAACTGTGCTGATAAATGTTAAGGAATGCCTTATTTAAGTTGATAGAACAAACTCTTGACATTTTTCTCATTCTATTTGTGATTATTTGATTCTGGTAAACTTGATGAGTTTTGTTTTATGTAGGTTCAAAAAGAACAATTCTTATTTTAAGAGTACCTACTCTCCTAATTTGTCTAGTGCAGTCTTTCTGATTGCTTACAGTCTTTCTGTGTTCCTGTGGGGTTTCTTTTAAGAAAAAAGGCTTTGTAACTCTTAAATCCTAGTGGCAAGAAGCTCTGCTGCTGTCCTGAAGGCATGTGGCTCGAAACCATCAGCCACTTCCCTCCTGTGCAAATAACTGCTTCTGAAAACCCAGAGGGTCAGCTATAGGTGGGTGCTGCCATGATAGTACACAACAATGACAATACTCAAGCTACTCTAAAGGAACTGTCAGAAAGCAAGGCCCCATTTGATGTATTTCAACAAACATCCAGCCCTAGACGTACTCACCAGGTTACACCAAGAAACCTGGAGGACAACTACCTGTCCAACTGACTGGAAAAGATCCATATTTATCCCCATTCCGAAAAATAATTCAACAGAGTGTGAAAATTACCAAACAGTATCACTAATATGACACACAAAATCCTGCTGAAGATTATCCAAAAACAGCTGGAAGAGTACATTGGCAGAATACCAAAGGTGTAAGCTGGGATTAGAAGAGGCCATGGTACTAAAGACATCATAGCCAGTGTCAGAAGGATCTTGGCAGAAAGCAGGGAGCACCAGAGAAGTGTCTATCACTTATAAATCTTATATGCAGAGGCGTTTGACTGTGGATCACAGCAAATTGTAGCTAACCCTGGAAAGAATGGGAATCCCAGAACACTTGTTTGTATGCATGCAAAACCTATACTTGGACCAGGAAGCAGTCATCAGAACAGAGCAGGGAAACATTACGTGGGTCAAAATCAGGAAGGGGTTTTTACAATAAAAAGAAAAACAAACAAAAAAGATTACATTTTCTTTAAAAAAAAATCCGGAAGGGAGTGCATCACAAAAGCATCCTGTCTCTCCATATATTTTCAGTCTACATGTGGAACAGCTCATCTGGAAGGCTGGACTTTATTAGGAGCTGCGTGGCATCAGGATTGAAGAAAGACTCATCAACAGTCTGAATTATGCAGATGACACCAACCTTGCTCACCAAAACTGAGGAGGTCTGAAGCATTTGTGGCAGAAAATCACGGACTGTAGCCTTCAATATGGATTGAAGCTCAACATCAAGAAAATAAAGATTCTCACCACTGGGCTGATTAGCAGCATCATGATAGATGGAGAAGAGACTGAGATTGTTAACAATTTCAGCTTTTTCAATTCCACATTGAACACTCTTCACCCCATCAGTCAGGAAATCAAAAGGCAAATTGCATTGAGGAAGTCTGCTGTCAGAAACCTCTCCAGAGTGCTAAAGAGTAACAGTGTCAGTCTGAAGACTAAGGTGCATTTGATCCTGGCTGTGGTCTTCACAGTTACTGAACTATGCATCAGAGAGCTGGATAGTGACCAAGGATGACAGAAGAAGAATTGATGCCTTTGAGTTGTGACGCTGGAGAAGAGTGTTGAATTCAGACTGCTAAGAGAACAAGTAGGTCTGTCCTGGAGAGGGTGAAACCAAAGTGCTCCATCTCACATACTTTGGGCCCGTGCATACATCAGGAGGGGCCCGTCCTTGGAGTAGGATTTCATACTGGGAAGAGTAGGAGAACAGCACAAGAGAGGAAGGCCTTGGATGAGATGGATTGGCACAATGACTGTGGCAGTGGAGGTTACATGTGTCAAAGTACCAGAAGTTGGCTCAGCAGACGGTAAAGGTCAGAGCTGTTCATTGGGTCACGATGAGTCATGGTCAACTTGACAGCATAAAACCACAACAAGATTTTGTGCACACACACAAGCCTCTGGTAAATGGTGAAAGAGTTTAATATTGCTTACATACTTTTATCTATATAATGAAATGTTCTTGGAGATTTTTTAACACATAAATAAGTAAATGTGTTGGGCTGCTAACTCAAAGGTTGGCAGTTTGAATCTACTAGCTGCTCTCTAAGAAAAAGATGGGCATTCTCCTCCTTTGCAACTTATGGCCTCCAAAAACCCACAGGACGGCAGCTATGAGCTAATTGCAACCTAACAACATATAAGAACAACATTAAGGAGATTTCATTTTTCTTGTCTTTAACAGCTCTGTATGTTAATTTCTAGATAATAAAATGTAGTTTTGCAAAATCAAGTGACTTAAAAAAATTATAAATTATTTTTAATTCCTTTAAAAATAAGCTTTTACAGACCACTTCAGTTATTTTTAATGTTTTATAAATCTGCCTGTTAAATGTGTTCCTTTAAGCTATATCTTCCTATTAATTTTTTTATATATAATATGTTTATAGGGTCAAGAAAACTCCTTATGTTGGGCTGCTTTAGACAAAAATGAATCTGAAGTAACTACATCTAAGGGTGAGTATAAGCTATAGGGATTTTTTTAATGTACTGTTTCTTTGACAGGATGCATGTGTTACACCTTTTTTATTATTTCTAATTCCATAAAGCTAGCTTATACACACCTATTTTGATAGCATTTATTGGACCATTTGATAGGAAAGCAGCATCTATGAAGATGCTGTGAAATTATCACTGTCCTTCTGGCTTTTCCTCAGATAATTTGGAGGAGGAGACTGAAGATGATGACCTCTTCGAAACCGAGTTCAGACAGTACAAGAGAACATACTACATGACGAAGATGGGCGTGGACGTAGTATCTGAGTATGGTTTTGCTTTTATTTTAGAGAAAATTACATTTTGCATTTATTTAGGAAGCAGCATGATTTTGGTTGCTAACGTATGAGGAGAAGACAAACGTAAATTGTTGTACATCTTTCAGTTAACATGATTTTGGTAAGATTACCTCTGACATGTGCCAAATTCCATGATAAAAATAGCCAACTAGATAGTGGTTAGTTTTTTGCTTTCTTCCTTCCAAATTAATTCTTATTAATGAGAATTGATTCCATGTATGATCAGTTTCAGGCTGCACAAGGCTCGCAGCCCTGTGAACAGCAGACCTGAATCTTGTCCTATCCTATGCCATTCTCACTATCTGTGTTACACTTGAGCTCATTGTTGAAGTCACTGTGTCATTCCATCTCTTTGAGTGTCTTCCTCTTTTTCTCTGACCCTCCACCTTTCCAAGCATGATATCCCTTTCCAATGAACAGCTGCTTCTAGCAACATGTCCAAAGTATGAGGTACAAAGCTTCACCATCCTTGCCTCTAAGGAACACTCTGCCTACATCCTCCAAGACATATCTGTTAATTTTTTGGCCGTCCATGGGATGCTCACTACTCTTCTCCAACACCACAACTCAAAGGCTTCAGTTTTTCTGTAATCCTTATTCACTGTCCAGCTCTCAGAAGCATGGCAAGTGACTGAGATGACCATGGCCTGAAACAGTATATCAAAGATGATGAGGATGACACAGGATAGAACAAAGTTCAGATCTGTTATTCATAGGGTCACCATGAGTCAGAATCCACATGAAGGCACTTAGCACCTACAACAGCCTTTCGAAGCTCACATTGCATTTACTGCAAAGGCCATGTGGCTCAGTCCCTCTCACTACCTATTTCAGACATTCTTTAAGAACGAGACTATTAGTGACTTTCAAACATTGATTAAACCACAGCCCATAGCTTGAATAAACAAGCTTGAATTTTAGGTTTATTTATTTGACTTCTAAAGATAAAAATTTCTTTGCTCACAGTTTAGAAGGCTGAAAGCTCAGATCAGGGATCTAAGGGAAAGCATTTTCTCTCTCTTTAACTCCTGTGGAGAGGCTTTGACTTCTCCCAGTTCACATAAGTGCGGCCTTCTTTGGCAATCAGTCTTCTTTTGCTATCAGTCTTTTCCAGATCTAAGAGGTTCTCATTTCAGGTGCCACGCAAGTCCAAAGGGCACAGTATGTGCCCAGTTATTATTTCTCAATGGTTGTTAGGCCTTTCCATAACTATCGTTTCATCAAGTTCATAGAATTTCCAGAGGCATGTGGTTTAGGAAATGGATGCCCTTCCTGCTTCCTCCAAACAATGTCCACATTGGGAAACAATATAGTATTTGATAGCCCAATGGCACAAGGTTCAGCATCACAGCAAACCCAGATTACTGCATACAGCATGTACAAAGTGGAAGAATGTGACCTACTGGAAAGAAGCTGCACAGCAGTCCCAGAGGTACACGGTTTGAATTCACCAGATGCTCTGCTGGAGAAGGAAGGACAATCTCCTGTACCAGTCAGATCCAATTTGACAGTTTAAAAAAACCACCAAAAACCAAACCCAAAGTGGAAGAATGTTCCTCCAGATATAACAACACTAGTCTCACTTATCTGTGGTTAAGTGTGGTAAAGTAGAATATGACTCATAGCTACCCTTGCAGAAAAGACCTGAACTCTTTTCTATAACTAACATTTCTATATGTTTATAGAGTTTCCAGAAGCATCTAGTTTAGGAAGTGGGTGCCACTCCTGCTTTCCAATCTGAATCAATCTGGAAGCTCCTTCAAACATTGTACATGATGGGTAACCATTACGGTATTTGACACGACTATTGCACAGTGTGATAATGGGCACCCATGGTGGACAGTGTTGGCTGGAGCTTCCTGACTAAATCAAGCCTGGAAGCAGGAGCAGCATCCACTTCTGAAATGGCTTGCCCTCTGGAAACACTATGTACAAACAGTGCTCAGGCTGTTCGTTCATAGGGTCGCTCTGAGTCGTCTACGACTCGACGGCATTAAATGACAACAATGTGGCACAGTGTTTAGCGTCACAGCACCTCCAAGTTATTCAGTACAACAAATAGACAAACTATTGCTGTATCACTTAAAGAATATTCATTCTAAAATTAATAAATGTGGAGTGGAGGCTCCAGGCCAGGCCACAGACCCAACCTCTCATTATGGTATTTTAAAGATAGACCCTTTGGCAGACCTCCAAAAGTTCACTGACACCTGCTTTTGGGAGAGGGGAGGGGAACAGTAACACACAGCAAACACAACCCAAAAACTTCCCATACATGATTGCTTTCAAGACATGACCGCCATCAAGAAGCTAGAAGCCAAGTTATTGTTATTAGACAATAATTGTTGTTACAGTAGTAGACAACTCAGCGACTCTATGAATGAAAGACCTGAGTACTGTTTATAGAGTTTCCGGAGACAAGCCATTTCGGAAGTGGATGCCACTCCTGCTTCCAAGCTTGTTTAATCGGGAAGCTCCAGCAAACACTGTCCACCATGGGTAACCATTATCATATTTGGCATATCAGTGTCACAGTGTTTAGCATCACAGCAAACACGAGTTACTGCTGTACAGCAATGCACAGACCAGTGCTATACCACCTAGAAGAATGTTTGACAGAAAACCAATTTGAACCAGGCCTGAGGACCACAGATTAAAATCACCCACCTTGGGCTTGGTTGCATAACTTTCTGTCCACTAGGCCAATATAGCTCTCTATGTTGTCGTTGTTACTGTTGTTAGGTGCCGTCGAGTTGTAGAAGACTCATAGCGAAAGGCCTGAGCAAGTAGCATATACAAAATCTCCTATGATATATGCATCTTAAAGGGGCTCTGGATGGTGATGTCAAGTTAAATAAAGGGTTGGGAGTTTGAATTTTCTTTTACCTGAAGGAAAAAGACATTCAACTCCTGTGTGATTTACTGCCACTGAAAACTCACTGTACTGTCAGCTATGAGTCAGTTCTGACTCGATGGTGCACAAGAACAGTAATGTCTTTATATATTCTTTTGACTAACATCATAAAAATATAATATTGGGATAATTTTATAGCCACATATCAAAATAATGGAAACCAGTACCTTTTGAGAAACTGTCTTTGATCTTGGCTTCAGCAAAGCGCTATAACAGTAACAGTCAGTTGCTAACAAGTCACTTCTAACATGGAATGTGGATTAGAGTAAGCTTGTGCTCCTTACGGTTTTCAGTGGCTGATTTTTCAAAAGCAGATGGTCAGGGCTTTTTTCTGAGGTGCATAGAAGTAGATCTGAACCTTTAACCTTATGGTTAGCAGCCAAGTTCATTAATCTTTGCACCACCCAGTGATCTAAAACAATAGACAACTTCCAACCCCACCTGGAACTAACTAGAAGATTAATTTGAAAATAATACTTTACCTTTTTAATTCAGGAAGCCTGGACTCAATAGTTTCTTGTTTTATTTGAACTTTCTGAGCACTACTCATAATTTTTGTTAAGTCTTCTTGATGAATTTTATTTTCTTCTGGTTTAGAAGATGAAAGCTTTTAATATTACTTGTATTATTAAATAGAACTTTTTATAAGATGCATAACTTAATATCTAGTACATTAGGGGAGCTCTGGTGGCCTAGCGGTAAGGAGCTGTGCTACCAGTTCAAATGCTGCATGCGGTTCAATCTACCAGCTGCTCCATGGAAGAAGGCCGTTTTCCTGCCATGCCATCATTACAGCCTCTGGAAACCTGGAGGGTCAGCTGTGAGTCCATTCCCACTTGATGACACACAACAACACAGCACACCATCATTAAGGTTTTTAGAAAGCAACATCAGCCTTTCCAACACTGACCTCCAAATGCTATCATGCCTCTTGTAAAGGATCTCCTTCATCCTCTCCAGAAGAGGAGTAGAGGAAACACAAGAAGTGCCAGGAGCAGAGCTCGACTTCCCATCCCATGGATGTGAAAATCCATGGATGCTATGAAATCACCACAGTCTTCAGCTGTGCGTACACAGTGGTTCTTAGTGTTGACTGCCCCACTGTTGTCTGTCAGCCTACAGGCGGAAAGGCAAGGCTTACAGAAGGATGCCTCTTCAAACAGAAACAGTGTTAGAAAACTCAGAGAGTCCAGATGAATGGAAAACTAGCTCAGTAAACCCAAGTTTGGATTAAAAACATAACAGCACAACATCAACCTAGTTATTGAAACAAACATTAAAAAAAGAAGCATGCCGAATTGTAATAGTGGCTGCTAATCCAAATTCCCTGTCATTGACTCAATTCTGACTTCTAGCAGTCCTATGGGCCAGGGTCGAACTGCCCTATATGGTTGGGAACCTATATAGTTTCCAAGAGTGGAAATCTGTGCAAAAGCAAACCCACCACAAAGTCTGGAAAGCAGCTGGAGGGTTTGGACTTCTGGCATTTGGGGTGGTGTGTAAGTGCTTTAACCCCTGTGCCAACAGTACCCGCTTATCAGTTGCTATCAAACTAGAGTTGAACCTTGGTTTCAAACTCAGGCCATCTCTTTGCAGCCTTGCTTCTGGCTTCCAAGTTCATAAATATTAAAAGAAACAAACACCAGCTCTTTTGGGTATCAGTCTAACAGCTTTTGTAAATACCCCACCTTGGTTTCCCAGGTGGATGCTACAGGATGAAAGAAATTGTTCGTTGTACCTCTGTTCAATAATGAGAAAGTATTTCTTTTATAATGAAAAAGTATTACATTTTCTTTCTAAAAATGTTTACCTTTTTCTCACCCAAAAATATAGAGATAAATAGGTCTAAGTACATCTCTACCTAAAGTTCGTAATATTGCCAAACATATTGTTACTTTTTTTTTTTCCTAGAGTTGCGAGGTCTAGGGAAATAATGAGTTCTAGTTCAAAATCAAAATTCAAGATAACAGCCCTTTTTTTATTAAATTTTATTAGTTTTAATGAACATTTACAGAGATTTTGGGTTTTCATTCATTCATTGTTGCACCACTTTCTCCACCCTCCTCCCCAGTCCGTTCCTCCCTCCCCCCGCATGTCTGTTTTAATTGTCCAATTGCCACAGTGCCCGCCAAAGCCAGTTCTGATCAATCTCCCTTGTCAGTGTGTCACTTGCCATTCCCTATCTCTCCTCCCTGAGAGAGACTTCACCTGATTCATAAGGAAAAGGGGATGGCGCATTCTCTTAGCTACTTCCTGCTGAAAAGGGATGCTGTGGGTTTCAGGGTGAAGGTCTTCTCTCACTACTCTAAAGGGCCCCCTTGGCAGTAGGAAACACATAGACTATTATGGAGATCAACCCTGGAATTTAGATGCACTGCCATCAACTGTGCCCAGCCGTACACGCTCATATCCTTGAAGATGTATCATGGAAGTGCTGCAGCCTTCAAACTGCAAAGCAGCAAGATGTTCTTCCTTTATCTTGAGTTTCAGCTCATTTTTCCTTTGCATCTCAGCGATTTCCTCTGGGGTGGCTAGTACAGGTGATGATTCTGCTACAGGTGGTGATTTACCAGAATTGCTGAGTCAACCCGAGGGCAGGTCAGTAGTGATGCAGCTCCCGCCGGGCCACAGCTCCCGCCGGCTGTAGTGCATCTTTTTACCACTAAGCATAGTAAAGTTCCTCCAGCAATCGAGTGATGAGACTATCCACGTTCAGCTCCCCGTTCGCCATCTTGTCGGCCGATAACAGCCCTTTAATCAGAACAGCCTCTCTTCTCTGCCATCCCCATAAGTATGCCTTTCTTGGGCCTTTGGCCTTCAAGTGGCTTCTGGCCTCCTGAGCCAAGTGTTAGAGCATTCTGTGAGCCCTGCCATTTAACATGCCCCAACAGCATTCTCACTCCGTAGGCTATGTAGCCCACAGGTCTGCCTTGAGCTGGTCTCCAGTTAGACCAGCTCTGCTGCTACCATTTTGTTCTTTCTCTCTGATGTTACACGTTTCTCTCTTCTGGGTTAAAGACATTTCAGGCAGGAATGTTATTCCTGTACCTCTTCTTTTTTGAAGACAGAGAAAGCAAGCCTTGGGCTTTCTTTTATTTGAAGATATTTCCGCCCCCCCCCCATGAATAAGGGTAATTAGTCTTTGAGAAAGAAGATATTACTAAGAAGAAAAATTGTCCAGAGGAGGAATCATTTTCAAAGGGTAATGTAGCTGATAATTGACCATTTTGAGATCCTTATTTTCTCCTGTGCTTTTATCAGGTATCCTAGATACAAAAAGATTACTAGCCCTCCTACCATCCCATCCTACCATTTCAAGGAGTAAGTGTCTATTTATGGAAAATTCATTGCTCAGACTTTAAAGGAGAAAGTAGTACACTGAGGAATACAAATATGCATGGCAACTTTAACTATTTTGATAGTCACTTCATGGAAACTACAAGGCAAATCTTTAATCTGACAATATAGAATGTTTTCTTTAAAGTAGTATTTCAGAGTATTCTGATTACAATTTTTCGTTAACTTGCTCTGATTGGTTTAAGTAGAACTTCTGAGGCTAACATGTTCAGTATCACCAGAAAACAAGCTCCAAAGAGATTAACCTATCTTTAAAACATGCTGCTAAAATTCTTTCTTTTTATTTTCCCCCTCAGTGATTTTCTAGCTAATCAAGCTGCCTGCTATGTTCAAGCGATACAGTGGATTTTGCACTATTACTATCATGGAGTTCAATCCTGGAGCTGGTGAGAGAATTAAGAACAAAAATAAAATTGTTTCTTTTTAGAAGTGTATTATTATATTCAAAGCTCATTTGAGGACGTCCTTTTTTTTAAGTAAAAGTTTACAAATTTGTTTTTCGTTCAACCATTCATACATATTTTATTTAGTAGAATTAATTATAATTCGAGTAATAGAATGAATTCATTGCACTGTTTCAACCCCTCCTTGTTATATATTGCCTTTTCCTTCTGTCAACTCACCTGTTTAGTAACTCTTACTTATCACTCCTTTCCCATCCTGGATACCATCCTTTATTTCCATTTATGGTAATATTTAAAAAAATAGAGAGAGCCAAGTTCAAAAGCACTTGTCTAACAGATGGCCCTGATGAAAGTTCTTTATTAAGCTAAAGATTTTTCACTTCTCTATCTGAATGAATCACATGTGACAAAATCTTTTAATGACTGAATCAAGGTTATAGTTATGTCAGGATATTTCTTATTTAGTCTCTTTGTGTGTTTTTGTGTGTGTGTATTTGAAAATTTCTATAGCAAATTTTTAAGAAGGCAAAAAATTCTTTATCAGAAGTAATTCTTGCAAAATTGGCTGTTTAAATACTAGACTGGAAAGGGGAACATGGTATATTTGACTAAAAATAATAATCTGTATTTCTCTGATGTTTTCATTTTAGCAAATTTTAAATACATTTGCAGGCTACCTACCAAAATTAACAATAATAAAAATAACAAACCAAAAAATTACTGAGTATAAGGTAGAGATGCTTATATGATGATATACCTTATTTTGTTTTTAATCTCTTTAGAACATTATCCAGCAAAATGAACCAATACTGAATAATGTAGCATTGATTAGGAATTGCATCCACTTACAGGCTTTAAAAACACAAAATCTTTGTAATAACTTGGCTCTTAAGCCCCTTCTGAAAAACATTCTGATTAAGGAAATTCTTGATTTGCCATTTTTTAAGAGGATAAGAGTAAATATTTTTATAACTTACATAGGTGAAAAAAATTAAAGTTCAGAGAGTAAGTGACTTCTGTAGGATAATACAGCCAAAATCAAGTACAAACCTATCTGACCTCAAAACCTATGTACATTTTCCATTGTCCCATGAGTCATTCCACCTCCTAAACTTGCCTATCCTTTTGTGATAATTATGGAATATAAAAATTATTTCTTCAAGTTTTGTTCTTATTCTGTGACAGTCATGTATAGCATTAAAATATTTTGAAGTCTGTAAATTTCTGAAGCTTCTTCTGTGAAAATATGATATTTGTTACCATGATATAATTTCAACTTTATAACTGTCTGCTATCTCTTGTATTCATTCACATGATAGCTTTAAGAGGGATATTTTTCTCCTCGTCTTTCAAAGTTACTGCTATGTTTTTAGTAAACTGAGGAACACATAAACTTAATATCAGCCTATTTCATAAAGTTATTAGTTGTTTAAAACGTTTTGTTTTACAGGTATTACCCATATCATTATGCGCCTTTTCTATCAGATATCCGAAATATCAGTACTCTTACAATCCATTTTGAACTAGGAAAACCTTTTAAGCCATTTGAGCAGCTGCTTGCTGTACTTCCATCAGCTAGCAAAAATTTGCTTCCTACATGTTACCAGGTGAGATTTAGAATTGCTTGGGTTTTGTTTTTTTATTCTTGAAGTTTAAGAGTTCCTCCAAATCTAGGAGCCCAGTGCCTAAATGTATTAAGTAGCTACATCGATTTCTTTTCACTTTTACACTTAGCATTTCTTTAACATGTTGCCGCACACTTTTAATTGACGACTGTGCTTAGAAACACATTTTTTTCTATGTATTACCATCATTTGTGGCAATGTGTTAACAAATTTAATGAGAAATAGCTATTTTATTTTGTTAGTTTTGTTCTTAAAATGCAAATTGCCTGAACCATTCCAAGTCTAGCTAGTTTATCTTTAGCACATTAAAGCATACATATCCCCACATTGAAGAAAGTAAACTGAAGCTGAGAGCGTCCAAGTGCTTACAGATTCATTCAAATTCTGAACTCTTTACCAAGGAGTCATTTTTTCCAACAGATTTATTACCATGAGTATATTTGAGGTTTAAGCCCCAAAATTTATTTCATTTTTATAAAAATGTAGAATGAAAGCTTTTTTTTAATTTGCATAATTCCTACAGCAGCAGAAGATATTTCCAGAAATAGAGGAGAGGAAGGCCCTCTATGAGGTGGATTGATTCAGTGACTGGGATAATTGGGATGGGAGTGTCAGAGACAGTGCGATTGGCACAGGACAGAGCGGAGTTTAGGGCTGTTGTACATAGGGGTCGCTATGAGTCGCAGGCGACTCGACGGCACATAACAACAACAACAACAGAGGCAAGGGCACAAATTTCAGGTTGTAAGTCTTTCTCTAATTCTAATCTGGTCCTAGAAATTAAAGTAGACACACACCATTTACTTCTGAAATAGTATCAGTTTGCTTCTGTATCTTTTTATTTGGCCTCTTCATAAGTTGCTTTGATGTTTTATCCTGTTTTTCAATACCTTTATTAAGAGTTGCCGTTCAGTCACTCTGGGCATAATATGACATTGAAAATATTTTCCAGTTACATCTTTTTTGATTTGTTAGTACCAATGCCATACTGGGTAGTAAATATTTTTAGTATTATCTTTGGAAATATGCTATATTATCTCTTTTTCAAAAAACTTAGAACTCTCCATAATAATATGCTAGAAGATATCCTCGTGCTTTTTTCAACTTCTGTTACAAAATCTCCAATAAAAATGTGTCTCACTGGATTTTTTTTTCTCTTTGATATTAATGTTGTTGTTGTTTGTTGTTAAGTGCTATCGAATCAAGTACGACTCTTAGCAACCCTATGAACAAAAGATTTTTTCCTTTTTCTTTTAAAAATATCTTCGATGACGGTTGTTATATTGTTTAGTAAAATACATTTATTAGGACATGAGAGTAAATTGTTGATTTAAGGTTAAAATGGAGAATATTGTTATAAACTTATGAAATTAGCATAAGTGAAATATGAATATGATAATTTAAACGTTGTATGGTAAAAAGATGAAAAATAGAATGACCAATTTCAGAATAAAGATGTTTTTACTACATTACTATGTCAGCAGAACAGTTGAAAGTGATGAATGGAGGTAAAATTAAGTCTTATGATTAAAAAAATCAAACAGTATACTTGAATATATCAAACGTATACAAATTTAATTTTCTTTGAAATTTTAAACTGTAATCTGAAGACATATAAATGCATTAACAAAAAGCTAAGTATTAGCTCTTCTAATTTTATTACACCATTTTATATTCCTGCAGCATTTGATGACCAGTGAAAACTCTCCAATTATAGAATACTATCCACCTGATTTTAAAACTGACCTAAATGGGAAACAACAGGAATGGGAAGCTGTGGTATTAATACCTTTTATTGACGAGGTCAGTACATGAGATAATTATATATATATTTATATATGTGTACATTCTTCCCCCCCTACAGTTACGAGTTTTACTAGGGAAGCAACAGGCTATAATTCTAGTTAGAAACTGTAAGGATTTCCATCCTTGTTCTTCCATCAAGATAGTTTCTTCTCTGTTATTATTTAGCCTTCCACTAACCCTTGGCGCCTTAGCTCTGCCTCATGCGCACACAATATTACAAAGCTCTGCCAGTTACACGGCCCACCCCTCACTCTGCCAGTACGCCTCGGCCAAGGCACTCAGATCTGCCTCGTGCGGGCTCTGGTTCTCTAACTCCACTGCTATCCATCTCGTGTGTCTCAGTCTCACTCTGTCTTGGACAGGAATTTCTTGCCCAGAGAACATGCTTCACTCTGCTACCTTTTCCCTTAGTGTTAGTGAAATACTCCTACTTATATTCTTAGAGATTATTTAGCATCATTTAATGAACAATGAGTTTTAATCACCTTTTATTTTTGCTCTTGGAATTTAATAATTCATTATGTCTATCAAACTATCTAGATACACTAATTACAAGACAGCTAGATTGGCTTTAATTATATTAGAAAAAGTAAGTTATAAGACGGAAGTGTAACCAGAGAAATTTCATGATAAGGGAGTTAAATATATCAAAAACACTCAGTTCTAAAGTTCATGTAGCTAAAAACAACTTTAAAATATGTGAAGCAAAGATTGTTAGAATTAATAGGAAAAATACACAAATTTACAATTAGAATTTTAAAATTCAACACTTCTTTGACATTGTTAGAAGCAACAAAGACCAGCAATGATGTTGTTGTTGTTGTTTTTTTATTATGTGCCATCGAGTTGCTTTAGGCCCATAGCAACCCTTTGCACAGCAACTCTGAACCCTATCCTAAGCCAGTCTCACTAATTCCAATATAAAAGAAAAAACGGTATAAACCACTCATGTTGTTGTTAAGTGCCATCGAGTCGCAGGCAACTCATAGCGACCCTATGAAGGAGAGTCCCCGACGCTTGGGTGCCTTTCATCCTCTCTCCAGGTTCATAGGGTTTCCGGAGGCAAGCTCTTATGGAAGTGGATGCCACTCCTCCTTCCATACTCATTGATAATTTGTAAAGCAGTATGCTCCAAAATTTAAAATCTTTATTTCCAAGGAAATAATGAGCTTTCACCAAAGCTATTCCTCAGCCATAAAACTTGAGTCTCATTAATTTTAAAAGGATTGAATTTTTCCACGGAATATTCTCCATCCACATGAAATTAGAAATCTGGAAAATCCTCAAATATTTTGGCATGAAAGAAGATACTTCTAAATAACCTGTGTATGAATGGAAAAATTGAAAGGATGCTAGATAGTATTTGATCTGAAGGGTAATGAAAACAATATCAAAACCTGAATGAAGCAACTGAAACAGGGCCCAGCTGATGCATAGCTGAGCTTCACTGGGTTTCTAAGCCTGTCAGTTGCCTGGGAGGCGACTACCCATTTTCTCGGGCAGAGTGGATTCGAACAGACAAAGGAGCTTAGACTTTGGGTGAGCAGCTGCACACTCTGTATGGACTGTGCCACCAGCTCTCCCTGAGAGAAATTTAGTGGCTCTGACTGCTTATACTAGACAAGAAAAAACTGTGGAATATATTATCTAAGCTTCCACCTTAGAAAGTATACAAATGATCAGATTGAGCTGAAGAATAAAAATGGCATGGATTCAAGATAGATGGAAAATAAACCAACAGTGGGGAAAACAAAATAAATTAAATCAAAAGTTAATTGTCTGAAAAGATTAATCACATTGATAAATCCTAGTCACACTGACCACGAGAGGAAGGGGGAGGGGAAGGAGAGCTGGAAGCACAGTCATTACCTAAAGGAGTAATCACAGTGACATTGTCTTGTGATCCCATGGATAAGACAAGGATACTTTAAGAATGTTATGGACCCATCAGCTGCTCTGCTGGAGAAGGGGGCAATCTCCTCCTGTGCCAGTCGAATCCCATTCAACAGTACACAACAAGAAAAAAAAGAATATCATGAACAGCTTTCTGCCAATACACTCAACAACCTGGAGAAGGTGAACATTTCTTTAAAGACATAGTTTTGCAAAACTAACAAAAATATTTCTTATATAATCTGAATAATCTTTTCATTTTCATTTATAATTTTAAACCTTCCCACGGAGAGAATTCTGAGCCTAGTTGTCTTCACTTAAAATTTTATCGAACATTAAGATGTAAATATTACTCTTACACAAACCTTTAGAAGATTAAGAGTTACCGTTTTCCCATTCATTATTGTTGTTGTGTACCTTCGAGTTCACAGTGATTACCTTCTAGCACATTTTCAGAGGCAGTAGATTGCTTGGGAGGAGAACTCCCATCTTTCTTACAAGGAACACCAGGTGGATTTGAACCATTTACCTTTGTATTGGCAGCACAGTTCCTTACCCTAACCCACCAGATCTCCCTTCTTTGTTGTCCTGTACCATTGGGTCAGAACCGATGCTTGGTGACCCTCAGAAGCGGATAATCACATTGGAGGAGATTGTTCATCTTTCTCCCGCGAGCAGCTGGTTAATGCAAACAGCCGGCCTTAAGTATTGCAGTGCTCCTTCTTGCCACTGGGCTACCAGAGTTCCCTTCTAGTTCATTTGGCAAGCATAATCCAGAAACCCAAACTGGGCAGAGAGTACAAGAACAGGAAATTACATCCAAAAGTAGATTTGGAAAAATCTTAAACAACACAGGTGTGATCAATAAGAATAATACTAATCAGCAGATGGCTTGGTATTTGTTGTTGTTGTTAAAAATGTAATGTTCTTCAGTGTTAACTTACCACATTATTAATGTACAACACCCATTGTTAATTCAACAAACCAGCAGCTCTGTGCCGTAATCTACAGGGAGTTGTGATGCCAACATAGAGGCAGTGTCTGCCCAGTGGTCTCCATCCACCATGGGTTTCTCCTCAGAAGGAGCTGGGCCATCTCCTCCTGGTCAGGTGGAAACCTTAGAAAACCTGCCACAGGGTCACCTATGCATTGATGAACTGGTTCCAGCACCACAGCGATGAATTTGATTTTTTTTGGGGGGGGGGGGATTGTAGGAAACTTCCTGAGTCTGATAAACATCATCTAAAACAATCTCTTTTAAAAATTAATTTTCATTCAGTCATTCGTATAAATTTTGTTTATAACATTAATGACAATTGATCAATGCCATTTATTACATAGTTTCATCAAATCCCCATGATACCTTAATTTCCCTTCATCCTGTTCATCCATCCACTAATCTCTGCTCTCTATCCCTTGCCTCCCATCTCTTTTCTTTCCTCCACAGTTGTTTCTTTCTGTGTTTATACCTTTCATTAGCTTTTTTAAAAAATCAATCAGTAATGCATATGCTGTTCCACATTGACCACACATAGTCTGACCTTCCATTCATTTTACAATGTCTTTCCTTCCACCTATTCTAGTAATACGTTCATTGTCTACCTGTTCATTTCCAGATCTCTTCCTGCCCCTCCAAAGCCATACCACAATGATTCTCTTCATATGTAAACTTTTCTCTATTTATTGTTATGTTGATTTTTTTAATAACAGTGGTCTTATAAAGAATTTGCTTTTATGTGATGAGTTATTTCTCTCAGCATAACGTCCTCTAGACTCATCTACATTGTGTCATTTTCTCGAGTTCTTCGTTGTTTTCAATGGCCCATAATATTCCGTTGTGTGAATATACCACAGTTTCTCCATTCATTTGTGGATGGGCACTTGAGCTGTTTCCATCTATTGGCTGTTGTGGTTAATGCTGCAGTATACATGGGTGCATACTTCTGTTTGTGTCACAGCTCTGATTTCTTTAGGGTGTATTCCCAGTAATGGGATAGCTGGATCAAATAGTACTTCATTTTCAGCTTTTTGAAGAAGGGTCAAACTTCACTGTTTACACACCCACTAGCAGTGCATGAGAGTTCAAATCCCTCTGTATCCTCACCAGCATTTACTATTTGCTATCCTGTTGTTGAACTTTGCTATTGTTGATGGGATGAGAAGATCACGCATTCATTCTTTTGATTTGCATCTCTCTAATGGTTAGTGATCTTGAGCAGTAGTATAACACTGAATATTTCTCCTATAAAAGACAGTTTTTAAAGAAGAAAAGAACATCCATTATAGCTACATTTCTAATATCGTACTGTTGTGCATTCAGTCAGTGCATTAATTTCTGGAGAAGAGATACAGATTAGATAGGAAGAAATAAAATTGTCTTTAAATTTGACATTATCATTTTATAGAAAATGCTAAGGATTCATGAAAAAAAATAGTAGAGCTAATAAGTAGATTTAGAGAGGTCCTAGAATATAAAAATTATTTGTTTTTCCATATACTAGCAAAAAAAATTGAAAATGCAAATTTTAAAATCTTTATTTATTAAAAAGTATCATTACAGAGCCATAAATTTAATAATATATGCATGCTCAGAAGGGTGGAGGAACAGTGCAGGAGAGGAAGACCCGGGATGAGACAGATTGATACAGTAACTGGGGCAATGGGGGTTGGTGTGTTGAAATGAGAGTGAGAGTGTCTCAGGACAGCAAAGGATTCAGAACTGCTGTACATAGGGTCTCTGTGGGTCGCAGGTGACTCGATGGCACATAACAATGACAACATGCCAAACAGCAGCGCTTAAAACAATAAATGTTGAGAGAAAGTAAAGAAAACCTAAATATGCTATGATAACTATGTTTATGGCTTGGAAGACTTAATTCTTCGCAAATTGATTTGGAGATTGATTCACCATAATACCAGTTAAATTCCAATAGGTTTTTAAATCAAGGTTAGAAATCTGATTCTGAAATGTTTGTAAAGTTGTAAAAGTGTTGTAATAGCAAAAAATCCTAAAAAAGAAAAATAATGTTCGAAAATTTAAACTGTTTTAAGATGTGCTGTTCCAAAGCAATAGTAATCAAGAAAGTGTGTTAACCGGCAGAAAAGAAAGCTTTTGCTATCACATTTTGTTGTGACCCATGATAGCTTGATGTGTTCTAGATTAGAGCTCCACACTGCTCCATGGAGCCTTCTTGGATGTAATCTTGTCACAGCAATTTGTCAAGCCTTCTTCCTTTGTGGCAGCCCTGGGTGCATTCAGACTATCAGTCTTTAGTAGCCAGGAGCGAAACTGGACCTGTTGGGTATATACAGCTGGTAAAATTTATCAAACTGTACATTTCAGCTTTTCTTTTTATAGATTCCCAAAGGTAGGCTGACTATGTCAGCAGGAATGTATATTTCCAGTTTTACATATTTTCAAAAACATTGGTCTTGTTCACATCAGTCATGTCTGAGTGCCTATTTCTCTGTTTTCTTTTCTAGTACTTGATATTATTGTTCTGTTTAATTTTGGCCAATGTTTTGGTTATTAAGAAGACCATGTATTATTGTTCAGATATATTTTTCCTGGCCTCTAATTTGAGGATATTTTTCTCTTGTAATTGCTTGTATGTCCTCTCCCTATTTTTTTTCTCTTTTTTTCTGATTTGTACCAATTCTTTGTTTTTAAGGGCATTCTTCTTCAGTGTAAGGGAGTTCTGGTGGCCTCATCAGTAGAGAGTTGTGCTGCCAGCCTAAAGTCTGGTAGTTCTAATCCACTGCTCCAAGGGAGAAGGGTGGACAGTTTCCTCCCATGCAATTTCCAACTTCTGAAAACATGCTTGGAGGGTTATTATGGAGTTAGTCCCACTCCATGGCAGTGAGTCTATTCTTCCTTAGTGTGACATTGGTTTCTTGATTTGTTCATGATCCTTCTGTCACAAATATTTTAGTTAAAAATGCATTTTCCTGTAAGTGTGTAAGGTTGGGGTTTTTTTCCTCCATCTTGTTTAACTTAGAGTTTATGTCTTGAAATTCTCAATCCTCTTTTAGATTTTTCTATTAATACTTTCACTGTTTTATTACTGTGGCATTTGTTTTTGCTATAGTGTGAAATTGAGATATGTAAGAGTTTTCTTTCTCTGCTATTTCAGTAAGTTACCTGAAATGTGGCTTTGGGGATCTGTAGTATGAGTCTTTTAAGCCTCTTCTAGTGCCACTAACATATAGTAGTTTTATAAAAAGGCATAATATTTAGTAAGACAGGTACTCAGTTATCTTTGCTATTTATATATTAATTTTCCATATGGATGCTAACATCATTCTGCCTTTTGAAAAAAAATTTTTTTAGCGGTAGAGATTTTGATCAGGTTTACAGTAAAGGATGAAGTGATTTTTGCAAAGGTAAGTATTTCTGTACCAGAATTTGTAAGGTAAGTATTAGTGCTATATACATTATGAAAAGTGTGACAAATTTACTTTTAAAATTTTATTCTCTGCTACTGCTTTTGGCCACACTTTAGTGAAAGCCATTTGAGTAAAAGTGTCAGAGGACTTTACAGTTGTTGGAGTATTTTATGGCCATTTGAAGTGAACAAAAGTTATATTGCTTTTTCAAATAATGAAATGGAATATACAAATAGGAAAGGAAAGATAAGGGAGCTCGCTCTGGTAGCCAAATAGTAAGGAGCAGTGCTGACGTACCAAAGGCTTATAGTTCGAATCCACCAGCTGCTCCATGGAAGAAGGATGGGCAGTCTCCTTTCATGGAGTTTCCTGCCTACAGAAGCCTGTTTGGAGAGTCAGTTATTGCTGGACTCTTCTGAATGTTACACAGCAACCACGGAAAGAGTTGTAATATATGTTTAGATTACATAATATTTATATTCACAAGCAGTGTTCAATTTTTATATTCAGAGGCGATTGTTGGAAGCCATGGAGTCATGTAACCACTTCCTCAAAAATGAAGAGAAGAAAAGAAACCAACATAGTGAGTGTCTCATGTGCTGGTATGACAGAGACACAGAGTTTGTCTACCCCTCTCCGTGGCCAGAAAAATTCCCTCCCATACAACAGTGTTGCACAAGGTATTGTAATTTACCATTTTCCAATTTATTAATTGTTAAAGAGACCAAAAAGAAAGCTTCACATATCTGTTTGGAGAATTAACAAGTAGTTTATTGTACGTTGTAGTCAGTTGGTAATTAATAAATCATGTCTAATTTTCCAAGATTGTAGCATCTTTTGTCCTTCTTCTGCAGACAGTCTACTCACACCCAAAGAGTTACAGATAAAATTAAAATCAATGTGGTTTTGATTTCCCTGAAAACAAAAATAGAGATGCATTCTGATTTTTCAGACATGGAGGATGTGTGTTACATTTGTTTTGCTTTATATTTTCCTTCATTTTAGAAACTTGTTGTTCTTATGTGTTGTGGAGTCAGAAATGGTCCATTGCTGACCCTCCAGTGAGTTTTCAGAGGCAGTAAATCTCACAGGAGGGGATTACCTGTCATCTACCCACAGAGCGTCTGGTGGATCTAACTACAAGTCTTTGGGTTAACCATTAAGCCACCAGAACTCCCGATTTTAGAAATGAATTGAGAGTGTGTGTGTGTGTGTGTGTGTGCGCGCGCGCGCGCACACACACATGAATGCACAAAATTTTAAATTAATGTTAGAAAACTTATACTCGATAACTACAAACATGGTTGTGTCTGAAACAATAACAAAGAAGTTGAATCCTTTTTGTTTTCTTTGTCTTAAAGGTGGAATTATTATTCCTTTCAAGGATAACTCATGAAAATATTTTAAGGGCAAGTTTTAAATTTATCCTTGCTTCTATGAGTTTTAAATTAAATGCCTTGATTTACTTCTTAGATACAAAATAATATCTTTAGATGCTTGGCATGTGGATATAAGCAAGAATAAAATAACCAAAGTTGACCAGAAGGCATTATACTTCTGTGGATTTCCTACTCTGAAGCACATCAAACACAAAGTAAGTGGCCACTCCGGAATTTGTTCAATTTATTAAAGGAGAAGTGACTGCTGAGAAAGAATTAAAATTCAGTTCTTGGAATTCTTTTTAAGTTTTTTTTGAAGAAAAGTGGTGTCCAAGTATTCCAGCAAAGCAGTCGTGGAGAAAACATGATGTTGGAAATTTTACTGAATGCAGATCCAGATGAACTCGTAAGTATTTTATTTACTAAGTATTAAACATACATAAAATATTTTCCAAAGAATTATAACTCCGTAAGTTCACATTCTAAATAGAGAAAACAAACAAACAAAAACCCATTTACACAAATTAATGACATTTCAGGGCATGTGTGATTGTGACACCATGAGCAAAAATAAGGCTATAAAATTTTGAAAAAGACATGAGCTGTGTTAGCTAACATTTAACCACACAAGTGTAGATTTCCCCTGGGTGCTGAAACCCAGTTTAGGACCAAGAGGGGTACAGGAGAAGAGGGGACAAGGCATCATAATTGAAATAAATAATAGGAACTGGAGAAAACAGTCAAAAATAAAGGTGATACTTTGTCTTATTCTTTATAACTTTCTTGTATATCTGAAATGTTAATACTTTTTTCCTTTCGTTAGAATAATTTTGATGTGTTTAATGAGAAGGATAAAGAGTAGAAAAACTGACCGAAGCAGAGGTTTTGTATTTAAAAATAGGGGAAAATAAGGTTGGATAAAAAGATTAATGCCAGAGTATAAAGGAGTTGAACACAAGGCTAAGGAGTTTGTAATTGTTTTCCATGACTGTTGTCTTGAAATTTTTCTTCAAGATTAATATGTTGTTGTTGATGATTGCCTTCAAGTCAAGCACGACTCATAGTGACCCTATGAACAAAAGGCATTAAGCCTTTCTATAACTATCGACATTTATCAAAGTTCATAGAGTTTTGGGAAGCATGTTGTTTAGGAAGTGGATGCCACTCCTGCTTCCAAATATGACACATACACATCCTTTATAGCCAAAGTGTTACATAAATAAGAATATATTTACTGACAGACATATAAGCAATATCTATTACTGTTACACTGTTGTTAGGTTCCATCATGCCAAAGATGACTCATAGCCATCCTTTGAATACCAAATCTGAACCTCGTCTTATCCTGCCCCATCTTCACCATTTCTTGATATGATTGAACCCACCGTTACAGTCGACCATGTCAGTCTATCTTGTTGGGAGTCTTAAGCACTCTTAAGTCTTGAGTCTGGGAGAGATGGTGGTCATGCACAGGGTCGCTGCCCAGTTTGTTGTTCATGGGTCACTGTGGGTCATGGTCACCTCGATAGCACCTAACAACACATTACGCAAAAGTGAAACGGAAGTAGAGAGACTGCCAAGTTCAGTGGTGGTACTTGGGGAAGTATTAGGTGATGCAAACAGATCGTGAAAGTGACAGTCTTCCAGATGAATAAGACCGAAATATGGACTAAAATAAAATCATTATTTATTCAAATGTAGAGGATAAAATGAAGTGAATATTTAAAAAATAGGCTGTTATTTACTGGAATAGGAAAGCTGAATGAGAGAGTTTAAGATTCATTATAATTAGTTATGGAATTGTAAGGTGGTAGTTAGACATTCAACTGGAGTGACCCTACCAGCCTTTCTCAATCAGCAATCAGCAGGAAATTTAAGCTCCTGTTTTTTGTTGTTGTGTACCATAGATTTGGAACCCACCCATAGCTGACTCTCTAGCACGTTTTCCAAGGCAGTTAATCACACGGCAGGAGATTGCCTATCATTCTCCCATGGAGCATCTGGTGGCCTTGAACCATTTCCTTTGGGGGATTGCAGCTCAGCTTCTTGCCATTAGACCACCAGAGCTCCCCTCCTTCTAATCCCTTAAATCACCCATTATATATCATGCAACACATTGGTTTATTTCCTATAGTGGTGATAATTATGTACCATCCTTGGGACAATTGATAAAATAGTTAAGTCATTTTTATGTGTCCTGAGGTCTAGTTGAAGAGCTTTAGTTCTAGTTGAAGAGAAAGAAAGGCAATTTAGCAATAGTCGAATACCTTGGGTTAGAACCCCGGCAGGGAGATAGGCGTACAGATGTCTGAACCATAGGCAGAGGTGACAATCAAGGGATTAGGGCTTATTTTCCTGAAGAAAAGGAACATTTAGGACTCAAGGTCTCAGCTGAGAGACATAGTGATTAGTAAGTAAGAAAGTATCCTTTTAAGAAGTACCATAGAAGCATGGAACAGAAGCTCTGTGCTACGTATGGTTCAGGAAAAATGAAAATTAAAATGAGATCTGATGTTGATATTTGAAAATTCCATCTCAGTAGAATAGTGGGATAGAAAACTGATTCCCAAGAACTAAACTGGGACTAAGTAAATACTGTGTAGAAACATAGCTATAATTAACGAAAAAGCAGTTAGTCAAGCAAAATAGCTACAAAAGGAGGTACATAGCACTAATAGGAAGACAAGCCTTAGAGACACTGGAGGGACAAGAAAGGGTTGCATAATCTCAACTTGAGGTAATAGAGAGTTTACGGGAAAGGATTCATCTAGGAAAGGAAGGCAGCTTTGTCTTGAAAAATTAAATGAAAGAGTAGGAGTTTAAAATTAGAAATAGATGCATAGATGTAGCAAAAAGAGTATGTGAAGGAGCTGAGTTACAATGTTGAAACTTGTTTTATTTGTCAGAAGTCATTCTGTTGTTTTATATGTTAATATAGGACATATCTGTCAAAATTAAGTCTAAAAATACTTACCAGTAATTGTTAAACACAGTATCAAGGATAATAAGCAGGACAAAATGATGAATAAAACTTTGTATTTAAGCTTTAATTTCTTCTGTATCCTATATGTATAAATTGATTTGGGTCATGTAAATTCTATGTAATCCTGACTTTTCATTTAAGATATTTCACACTATAAAGTTTTTGTGTGTATTGTTTTATCTTGAAATTAGCATTGTGAAGAGATTTTATGGAGTCTTCTGTTAAATGAAAATTGAGGCTCAATAAAGTGTATTGAGCCAAGAGGTAGAACTCAAATTTGGATTCATATCTCCTGACTTTAAGTCTAGTCTTCTTTTTCATTATATCATCCACAACTGAAATGAAAGGAAAATTCTTAGATGTAAAATGTCTGTTTTAGATAAAACAATGAATATCCATTTTTTAGACATTTCTACTCTTTTTTTTTCCTCAAGAAAAATACAGTAACAATGGTTCTAATTGGTCCTTCCTGGAATCATTTGTTGGTTATAGTCCCTTGAAGTTTTTTAAACTAGTCATAGTGCCTCTATATAATAGAGAAAAGATTGGTAGAGGAGAAGGTAAATTTGGAAAATAGAAAGAAATGGTAATTTATGGAATAATAATAAAAATAGCTAAAAGCTGTTGAGTGCTTCTTAATATTATAAGGGCTTTTCATGAATCTATATTAAATTAAAAGTGAAATCAAAAGCAGATAGAGTAAATTTTTTTAATAAAGAATGGGAATGATTGTATGAAATAATGTAAATGAAGGAAAGTGTGAAACAAGGTATATGAATTTTTTATATAAATCAATATAAAATAAAAAGAAAATTTAAAAAGATGGAAATGTTGAATGAACAGGAATTTTGGCAAATGTATTGAATTAAAAGGAAGAAGTTAGCAGTTAAGAACACTAACTGTTTGAATGGATGAAGTGAATTAGTTGCATTAAAGTTGAGAAGAGCATGTACTGTTAGAAATAACTGTCTTTATTGAGTAGAATTTTCTTTACATTTTAAACACAGGATATTTTATGTGGTATACTTATTAAGGTAAAGTTTTTCTAGATTTAAATATACAGTTACGAGCATTCTGGCTAGCTTTTTTCAGTTATTTAATTTAGCTTATCTGAATTTTTTTTTCTTGGACCGTAAATGAATGAATTTTTCTGTTTTTAAGAGCATAGAGAATGTAGCTTCCGCGGTGCTTGGAAGGTCTGTCTTTGTTAATTGGCCTCACCTTGAAGAAGCTAGAGTCGTGGCTGTGTCAGATGGAGAAACTAAGTAAGAGTTCATTTACAATATTTTTACTAATATTTGCTGTACTACTTGGTGGCTTTTACTAATATAATTATTATTTAAAAATACATACTCTTATTGTGAAAATAAAAGTTCTGTCATCATACTTTGGAAAGTTCAATAACTATTGGTAATTTATTCTACAGTCCTTAGAATATTTTAGGGAGGCCTGGTGACAATTCATGGCCAATAAAAACTAGTAATTTAGGATAGGCAGTTTCAATCTGCCAGCCACTTTACAGGAGAAAGATGGGCTGTATTTTCCTGAAAAAATTTACAACCTTGGAAATGATGGAGCATAGCTATGAATCACAAACAAATGAGTAGCAGTGACTTGGGAAATTTTATTTTTTCATTGCTGTAAACATATACAAGTAACAATGCTCACTGTTACAATATTAAGCTATGTACAAGTAGTGATATAAATTACATTAAACATGTTGCACAACGTTCACTAGAAGTCATTGCCAGATTTTGCAGCACTATATTCATTGCTTTGTAACCACTTTTCCCTTTCCCTCTCACCTCTAGTAATCACTAATAAATGCTGGTCTTTATACATTTGCCTGTTTTATATGTTGTTGTTGTTATGTGCCATCGAGTCACCTATGACTCATACCAACCCTATATACAACAGTCCTAAACCCTGCTCCATCTGACACACCTAGCCCCATTACCCCAGTCACTGAATCAATCCATCTCATCCAGGGTCTTCCTCTCTTGCGCTGTCCCTCCAACCTCCCAAGCCTGACGTCCCTCTCCAAGGACGGGTCCCATCTTGCATCATGTCCAAATGTCAGACGAAACTTCAGAATCCTTGAAAGAGTAGCTTATTCTCAGCCTCTCTAGGATGAATCTATTTGTTCTCCTAGTTGTTCATGGTATATTCAGTACTCCAGCACCACAACTCAAAGGCATCAATTCTCCTTCTATCATTCCTAGTCATTGCCCAGCTTTCTGATGTATAGCAAGTAATTGCAAAGATTATGGCCTGGATCAGGCGCACCTTAGTCTTCAGACTGACATCGTTGTTCCTTAGTACTTTGAAGAGGTCTCTGACAGTAGACATTCCTGGTGCAATTAGTCTTTTGATTTCCTGGTTACTGGTACCAAGAGTGTTGATTGTGGAGCCAAGCAAACTAAAACTGTTAACAATCTCAACCTCTTCACCATCTATCATTATGTTGCCAGTTAGTCCAGTGGTGAGAATGTTTTCTTGATATCGTGCTTCAATCCATATTGGAGGCTGCAGTCCTTGACCTTCTGCAGCAAGCACTTTAGTTCCTCCTCAGTTTCAGGAAGCAGGAGGGTTTAACGCAGATTGTTGATGAGTCTGCCTCCAATACTGGTCCCACATTTCTCCTCATAGAGCCCAGCGTCCCAGATAATCTGTTCTGCATATAGAATGAACGACATAGAAATAGGACACATCACTGGCATGCCCTCTTCCCAATTTTGAACCTATTTCTATATATTCTATATAGGAGGCTCTGGTGATCTAATGTATAAGTAGTTTCACTACCAACCTAAAGGCAAGCACCTATAATCAGTTCACCAGTTCACTCTGCAGGAGTGAGGTAGGCAGTCACCTCGTGTGTGATTTGTGGCTTCTGAAAACCCACTGGAGAGTCAGCCAGGCGTGAGTTCCAACTTGGTTACAGTGAGACCTTTTCTATTCTGGATATTTAAGTGTTGTTGTTGTT